GATGCTTCCTAAGGCCCACTTGGCTTTTCATTCCAGGATGTCTCTAGGTGAGTGATCATGCCATCATGATTATCTGGGTCATGAAGATCTTTTTTGTCTACCTACCTTTTAATCACTTCTGCTACATTAAAGCAAAGTGTGGGTGGGGGGTCATTTCTATGCAACTTACAATGGACCATCATTTTCTCCATGTATTATCCACCACAAACTATTTGAGGCTTTCGTACCTCATCCAATTGCAACATTAATTGGAAATATCTGCTTAATGAGCCCATATCAGCAAATTAGGCCTGATCAAATTTGATGATTTTCCTACCTCTTTCAAGTTCCATATACATTCCCTAGATTTATATCACAAAGGTTTAGAGCCTTTCTTTACTTCCCTCCAGCTGTGACATGAAGCATAAAATCTCTGCTTGGCAAGCACATCTCAATAAGCAATCAAGTTTGATCAAAGTTTATTTTTTTCTATAATTGTCACATACTGGTTATCTCTATTCCCACATATATTCCTTGGATTTTTGTCTGTATAAATTAGAAAAGTCCACTAGCTTTTTTGGAGTGTAGTGCACCTCCTCCAATGTCACTGTCTGTACCTTGCTTTCAGGTGCCTGCTGGGGCCTGAGACAAGTTACAGAATCAGAAGCAATGAGGGTAGCTGAGGTGGGTCCTCAGGAGAATCAGCATGGCCTTTCATGGCAACTGCTGCAGGGGAGACCACTACAGTTTCTTCAGGGTTAATTCTATAGACAGGACATGTAGTCATGTCTTCTGGGGTTGGAGAGACCACATCACTGATAAAGAACCCTCACCTTATCCTTGTTTCTTCTTTTAAGTTTCCTCAAACCTTTGGTGATCTAAGCTGGAATTTGGAATTTATTTGTGACTCTTCTCATACCTTCATCCTACATTAAGTTCTTTTTTTTTTTCTTTACTGTTTCTAATTCCTAAATATTGCTTGAGCTCTTCTCTATCTCTCAATTTTAGTGTGGGTTCCCCAAGAAGAAGACACAGAGATGAAATTTTTATGAAAGCAATTTACAAGAGAGAAACTGAATGAGGCGGTCTATGGTAAGGGTAAACGAAGGATATGCTTTCAATTAGGGTTTAGTTTTAGCCTAGAGCCCTGGAGCCCTGGAATATATGTTGTCCTGCAGTACTGGTTCCACCATACGTCAAGGGGACCAGCCTTTTCAGTGCTGCTCCTATCATTCATGTGAACTCCTGGTCCCTGGATGGTGGGTATAGTCCCCAACAAGGCAGTTCCAAGTATCTCTCTTGCAGCTGTTCAGGAAGAATGGGGCTGTGAGCTTTTAGCAGCCCAGCAAACAGCAGCTGTGTTCTAGGTGCACTTGTGCAGTGAATGGGGTTTGACTAGATGCAGAGGGTCTACAGCATTCTTCACCATCACTGGCACCACCAGAAGTCACACGTCCATCATTTCACATCCAAATTATTACAACTACTTGTACTCTTCCATTTATTTTCTCTACTATAGCCAAACACCTTCCGCAGTGGCTCAGATCGCAAAGAATCTGTCTGCAATGCAGGAGACCTGGGTTTGATCCCTGGGCTGAGAAGATGCCCTGGGGGAGGGGAAAGGCAACCCACTCTAGTATTCTTGCCTGGAGAATACAATGAACAGAGGAGCCTTGTGGGCTACAATCCATGAGATCACAAAGAGTCAGACACAACTGAGTAACTAACACTTTTTCACTATAACCACAGTTTTTATTCTAAAATTTTAAACCTAACTGCATCATGTGCTAGCTTAAACTACCTTCTAAAAATAATCTGAAAATTTATATAACTGAAATCACTTCACTGTACACCTGGAACCCGCAATGTCAGAAATTATCTATATTTCAATATAAAAAAATATTTTAATATCATGGCAACCCACTCCAGTATTCTTGCCTGGAGAATCCCCAATGACAGAGGAGCCTGGAGGCCTAGAGTCCATGGGGTCGCTAAGAGTCGGACATGACTGAGTGACTCAGCACAGCACAGAGTACTTAGTTTTAAGCCTTAACACAATGATGAGGCCCTCCCCAGTCTTTTCTGTTCCTATCACTCCAGCTTCAGTTCAGTTCATTCGCTCAGTCAAATCTGACTCTTAACAGAGTCAGACACACCAGCTCCCTATTTTGTACCCTTTAGAAGCTAAGTGTCTAACGTGCTTCTTAAAATGCAGTGCATATTCAATAAATAGTTGTTGAATAAAATGTTTAGCAACCACAGCTATGTGACATTTATGAGGAATCTGTATACACACTTCACCTTCTGGACTTTGTTACATATTTTCTTTTCTAAAGCATCCTTGCTCCATCTGATGTCTATTCATGCTGCTGACTCTTTGAGTCCCATTTCTAATGTCTTTTCACCTTGAAACGTTTCTTGAACCCCCAGGTTTTGTTGTGTGTCCCTCAAAAGTGCTTTCAGAGTAAGTACCCTTATTTCCACTATCTTACTGTTTGTAGTACTGTGTTGTAAGTTTTTGCTCTCTTCTGGGAGTCTATGAATCTAAGATCTGTGAAGACATCATTCAGGTTTTTCTTTATTCACTGATGAAGCCCCAGCAATTGTCACTATCTGATACATTCCTTGGGCTGAAAAATATTTGTTGTTTAATGAATGTAGGGTGGGTGAAATGAATGCAATATAATTATTCTGGGGTTGTTTTTTGTATAAATGGGGCTACAAATTAAAAACAAACCAAAAAAGGAACTTATAATGAAATGTTACCAAAAAGGAAATGCAGAAGAATTTTTTTTTATTTTTAAATAAAAATATGAAAACCAATCAATGTGAAATAATCAGTATAAAATAATAAATATTGAAAAAATATTGACAGAGAAATATAGGGAGAAACAGAATGATGATATCATATTTAGGATTGGTAGACTGTCAAGGTAAAGTATGTGTTCAAAAGATAACAATTTTATTTTCAATTTCTTCCTTATTCCTAGTTTATGCAGAATAAAACAAAATCTTAGTTTTCAAAAGACATATGCCTAGATTACTTCTCTGAGTCTGAAACAGGTAAAGGTAGAAAACATTTCCTAGTCTGCAATACTACATTTTTCCCAATAATTTATTGAATTTATTCATCTTCCCTTATACTTACATGTATTTTATCTAACATTTATCATAAATCAGACATTGTGCCTTGAAGATAATATTAATAGCAAGTAGGTAAATATTTTGCAGAGTATGGCTTAATTTTTTTAATAAATTGAAATTCCTGTCTGATATTAGATCATTCTTTTACTTGGATCTTCACTCTTTTTGATGGGTTATCCAGATAAGATTGTAACATGACAATACAAAGTGATTCTTAATGCAACAAGAAAATTTGGAATATTTTTGTGCAACATTCCTTAAATTCCCCTTAGAGTTTAAATGTTCCATTGCTTATCATATATTAATGCATATATATGGAATCTAGAAAAAAGTCAAAGATGAACCTATGTGTAAGGTAGGACTAGAGGTGCAGATGTTGAGAATTGATTTGTGGACACAGTGGAGGAAAGAGGGTCTGGATGAACTGAGAGAATAGCATTGAAAATACCACGCATAAAATAGTTAGAGGGAAGCTGATGTACAGCACAGGGAGCTCAGCTCGGTGTTCTGTGATGACCTAGAGGGGAGTTACGTACCACGGTGTTACATACCACATACCATACACACACATATATATGTAGACAGAGGATCCTGGTGGCCTACATCCCACCAGGTCACAAAGAGTCAGATGTGACTAAAACGACTTAACACACACCATATATACATTTTCAGCACAGTCCTTATCTCCATAAATGGTAAGTAGTATCATTATGGTTTTCCAATAGTCATGTGCAGATGTGAGATTTTGACTATAAAAAAGTTTGAGCACTGAAGAATTGATACTTTCAAACTGTGGTGCTGTAGAAGACTATTGAGAGTACCTAAGACTGCAAGGAGATCCAACCAGTCTTCCGTCAAGGAAACCAGCCCTGACTCTTCACTGGGAGGACTAATGCTGAATCTGAAGCTCCAATATTTTGTCCACTTGATACAACGAATTACTGACTCATTGGAAAAGATCCTCATGCTGTGAAAGATTGAAGGCAAAAGGAGAAGGGGAGGCAGATGAGATCATAGGGCAGCATCACCAACTCAACAGACATGAGTCTGAGCAAACTCTAAGAGAGAATGGAGGACAGAGGAGTCTGGGGTGCTGCAGTCCATGGGGTCCCAAAGAGTCAGAAATGATTTAGCAACTGAACAACATAATTATGTTACCTTTGTATCATTGTCTGACAGCATATTTCTGCAGTTAAGAACATGATCTGACACAGCAGCTAAAAATATGGTTCTTCAATATTCCTGTTTTGGAATTTTCCCATTCTATTTGTTTAATCACCTCTAAAATGAAGATAATAGCAATGCCTACTTATTTGTATAGTTACAGAGATAACTGCTCAATATCAGTGTATTTATTTTTTGTTTTATTAGAATGAATTTATCAAGGCATATAGATAGATAAAGCTAGAAAAACTAAGTCTCAACTTAGCAGAATGTTTCAAACATGAAAAAGTAGTCTCCTGCCAGTTGGTCTCACATTTCATGCACCATTTCTTCTCCCCATTGTGGAATCTATGATTTGTAGTGGCTATTTTATTTTTCCCTTTATCTCAAAGTTCTTCTTTGCTGAAAGCATCAACAATGTCCTTCTGAACTTTGCACCAGGAGAATCAATGCTGGTCTCCATGTACCTCTTATTGATCACCTGAAATAGCTTTATTATTACACAAATTCTTAATGACATTTTTCATCTGGGCATTTCTCAAGGTATAGATGAAGGGATTTAACATGGGAGTTATCATAGTGTAGAATACAGCCACTGCTTTATCAATTGGTAAAGAAACTGGTGGTCTCAGATATACAAAAATGCAGAGCACAAGGAGCAAGGTGACAACCGTGATGTGATAGACACAAGTTGAGAAGGCCTTGTGCCTCGCCTCCAAACTGTGGTTCCATAGGGAATGCAGGATGACCACATAGGAGCCCATCAAGAGGATAAAGTTTATAAGACAGATGAAACCACTCTTGGCAGCAACAAATAATCCTAGAGTGTGAGTATCAGTGCAGGCAAGATTTAACAAAGGGTTCAGATCACATAAAAAGTGGTCTATGACATTAGGGCCACAGAAGGGTAATCTGAAGATGAAAAAGATCTGTGTGAGTCCATAAAGAAAGCCTCCCACCCATGCCACTCCAATTAGCAGCCAAAACACCCTCCAGTTCATGATGCTTGTGTGGTGCAAGGGCTTGCAGATGGCTACATAGCAGTCATAGGCCATCACAGTGAGCAGAATGGCCTCAGCACTTCCCAGGAAATGTTCCCCAAAGATTTGTGTCATGCATCCATTGAACAGGATGGTCTTCCTTTCATGGAGGGAATCAATGATCAGTTTAGGGGTATTCACAGAGGAGTAGCAAGCATCAATAAGGGACAGATAAGCCAGAAAAAAGTACATAGGAGAACTCAGTAGTGGCCTGACTATAATGGTGTCCATGATGAACAAATTTCCTACCACAGAGATGATGTAGACGACCAAAACCACAACAAATATGACCTTCTGCAACTTTGGATTCTGCATGAGCCACAAGAGATCAAATTCTGTTACATTGATCCTATTCTCCCTGTATTTTGTGTTATAGTTCATTATGTTACCTGGAAAAAAAGTTACTTTTCATCACCTCAGCCTTGAGTTCACTGAGCCTCTCCAATAAAAAATAAATGCACAGATTCTATGGAGTTCTGAGTTTTAAGTCATTTTTTTGATATAGGAAAAATGTCTGATCTCTTAAAGGTAACTCACATGTCCTCCTGGAGAGAGATAATGCTTAGAGGTTAGAGACATGAGGGACTCTGTGAAAACACAGGAGGGAGATTTTCTCTGCAAGTGTACTCATGTGAGATGATGCAAGCCCAATATGAATCAATAGATCTCACATATAGTGGCAGACAAACCTGAGATGAAAGGAAGAATACAGATGTAAAAGCTATGAATGCAACACCAAGGGATTTTTCCTTTATTCTTAGGAAATGAGAAACCATGTAAGTTAAATGAAAATGTTAGAGTAAAGATGAAGAGGAATGTGAGAGAGAGGGTGTGTTGGATTTAATTCCAAAAACGATCTTTTTCTGACTTGTATGAAGTAGGATGAAGTTTAGTAAGGGGAGGGAAGACAGAAAAGCATTAGTATCAGACACTAATAGTTCACATAAAGTGTAACAGAGCTTTGGGAATGGGAAAGTAATGAAATGGTAAAGAAGCTACTGTGCCAGAATACTGGAGTGGGTAGCTGTTCCCTCCTCCAGGGCATCTTCCCAATCCAGAGATCTAACCCAGGTCTCCCACATTGCAGACAGATTCTTTACTAGCTGAGCCACTGGGGAAGCCTAATAAAATAAACATGTTTCTTAAATTCAGTAACTTTAAAATAATTGAAAAATATACTTTAAGGATCAATTGTTATATGCACAGCATGATTATAGTCTATGTACATTTCATATAGCAAATGAGAAGGAATCTTAGTATATAATAGTAAAAATATAGTAGTAATAATAATATTAGCTAAAACTTGCTGAACATTTACTATGCTCTAAAAGGCAATCCAATAGTTTGGCCACCTGATGTGAAGAGCTGACTCATTTGAAAAGCCCCTGATGCTGGGAAAGATTGAAGGCTAGAGGAGAAGGGGATGACAGAGGATGAGATGGTTGGATGGCATCACTGATACAATGGACATGGATTTGGGTGGACTCCAGGAGTTGGTGATGGACAGGGAGGCCTGGCATGCTGCAGTCCATGGAGTCTCAAAGAGTCAGACATGACTGAGCAACTGAACTGAACTGAAGATACTTCATTATTTAAGCTTCATTAAAACTTATGTTTACTACTACCATTTTTATACTTATTTTACGCATTAGGAAGTAGAAGCTTAGAGAAGTTAAAAATTCTACCTAAACTCAGGCAGCTACAATGGACAGAGTTAAGATTAGTTTAAATTACACCTTTATTTTTTTGTTCCAAATTCTTAAACCATAACCTATAAAATTATTACAATAAACAATTCTAAATTAGTAAACTTTTAAAAATAGAAACAATATAGTCATATTTATCTTTATCCTACCTCACAGACAGTTATATATATATGTATACACACATATGCACATATACATATATGTATATATTTTTAGTCAACTTATACAAAGGTCAGAGATGTACACACACAGTATATTTTACTGAAATCCCCCAATATTAATAACTATATGACAACCCACTTCAGTATTCTTGCCTGGAGAATCCCATGGAGGGAGGAACCTGGTAGGCTACAGCCCATGGGGTCGCAAAAAGTCGGAAACAACTGAGCGAATTCACTTCACTTCACTGCTTTCATTAAAGGTCAATTTTATCTTTTTCTCTTCCCTACCTACACTTCTTCCATCAAAAATATCCCTATAAAACATGAACCCATACTTTTCTGCAAAAGGTTGCAAATGACATTGAAAATGACAATCCCATTGGGAGAGCATATTGGTTTGGGAATCGGAATTAGAATCTTGCCTTTTCCCACTTGCTACTTGTTGATCTGCCTGGAGAAGGAAATGGCAACCCACTCCAGTATTCTTGCCTGGAGAATCCCATGGACAGAGGAGCCTGGTGGGCTACAGTCCATGGGGTTGCAAAGAGTCAGACACAACTGAGTGACTTCACTTTCACTTTTACTTGTTGATCTGAGGTTCATTTCTTGGCATCTTACATTTTTGTTTTTCAATATCAAGTGAGAAGTTTAATCCACCTCAACTCACAGGTTATTATGAAAACTGATTGAGGAAACATATGAATGCATACACCACACTGCTGGGGACACACAGAGGACCTTCCTCACTTGTATGGCTGTTTATGCACTCAAGATTAGGAAGAACTGATATTTTTGGCAATGATACATTGCAACATTTGACCATACAATAGACTGAGGAAGAATCATCTCCAATTTTACTTTTAAAGAAGTCACAAATATCCATACTATGTTCATCATTTGCTCCCAGGAAGTTCTTCATATGCATGGTTGTACTAAACATGTGATGGTTCATATCATCTAATTGATATCTTTTTGTGTGTGAAATGCAGTTAAGTTTTGTTTTCATACTCATGAGTTGTCTTAATTATTAAAATAGTTGTCCAATGACAAAATAAGTATATCTGGGGTTAGAGAAAAGGTTATTACCAAATTTCTTAATCTCAGTGAGACTAGTCTTTTCTTCTGTCAAATTAGGTTTATGACATTTACCAAATATCTTTTGAAGAATGTGCTGAATGTAAAAGGCTTTACTATTGTATTTGAAAACTATTAAAATATAACAATTATTATATATGGAAAACAATTTTTACTAAGCAATAGAACTATTGAAAAACTTACCTTCTAGTCTTAGATGATATTAATGATATTTGAGGATACTCAGAACTAATTCCATTTTAAAAGTGACCTCCTCTTTGGAAAAGAAACTTTCAATAGTAAAGATGTGACACTCTCAGAAAGGCTATTCAGATAATTCAATATCAAGTCAATAGAAGATAAGTGAGTCTTTGTATAGGTCTAAATCTTTTCTTCTCGCCTAGAGACTGAAAAAAAATTTCACAGAAATTATGGGACTTGAATTTAGAATAAATTCACTTAGAATACCAAGGCAAAATGATCTTCCATGAATGCTCTGATCCAAAATCTAGAAGGCAGAATGTGTGGTGGAAACATATTTAAATGGGTCTTTCCACTCTTGACAAATCTTTCTCTGGAAATCTAAACAACAAGAAAAGACATTTTCAATTGCATGCGTGGTTATTTACCAAGTTTGCATATAGGTACTAGGACCTGGTCTATAGCTTCAATTTTCTCTCCCAGGAACTAATTATCTGCTTTGGTGGAAAGACTTTGTCTTAGAAACAGGTATTCTTTAGGGACACGGTTGGGAAACACTCGTTTTTGAGTTGGGAATTCTATTCCCTGCACTTGCCGTGGAAAGACGTGAGTGCCCTTTCTCTATCGGAACATGGCTTTTTAAGTAGGCTGACTATTGTATGAATAACAAGGATGGTGTAATTCCATCACAGTAATATCTGTGATGTAGTTACCCTGTGAACTCATGTCAGCGAAAAAACTTTCATTGTATACATGTACTATATCTTCCTATCCATTCATCTATCGATGGACACAATTGCTTCTGTGTAATGGCTATTGTAAATAGTACTGTGATGAAAATTGGAGTATATGCATCCTTATGAGCTATGTTTACTCCAGATATATATCCAGGAGTAGGATTGCTGGGTCATATGGTAGTTTTTAGTTTTCTTTTTAAGAAAAATCCATATTGTTCTCCATACTTGTTGCATCAATTTACATTCACTTCAACAGTATTGGAGAGTCCTCTTTACCCCACACCCTCTCCAGTATTTACTGGATGTAGTTTTTTTTTTTATGATGACCATTCTGACAGGTGTGAATTGCTATTTTATTGCAGTTTTTTTTTTGTTGTTGTTATTTAGAAGAGTTTATTTTTTTAACAAGAGAAAAACAAACAGAAGCTTATTAACTTGTATACCTCAGGTGTTGTCCATGGGACACACAGAGGGAAAATCAGGAAATTTTATGTTCAGTTTAGATGTCACTCAATAAAAATTCTTCCTAAAAAATATTGGCAGAAAATACCTACTCTCTGTCAATTTTGTATAGAAAACACATCCATTATTATAATTTCTATGTTGGAGGTGATCTTTTTTTTTTTAATTAATCAATTTATTTATTTATTTATTTATTTTATCACAACCATAGTGTATCTTTTTTTTTTTTTTTTTACATGTATTCCCCATCCCGGTCCCCCCTCCCACCTCCCTCTCCACCCAATCCCTCTGGGTCTTCCCCATGCACCAGGCCCGAGCACTTGTCTCATGCACCCAACCTGGGCTGGTGAACTGTTTCACCCTAGATAATATACGTGTTTCAAGGCTGTTCTCTTGAAACATCCCACCCTCGCCTTCTCCCAGAGTCCACAAGTCTGTTCTATACATAGGAGTCTCTTTTTCTGTTTTGCACATAGGGTTATCGTTACCATCTTTCTAAATTCCATATATATGTGTTAGTATACTGTAATGGTCTTTATCTTTCTGGCTTACTTTGCTCTGTATAATGGGCTCCAGTTTCATCCATCTCATTAGAACGGATTCAAATGAATTCCTTTTAATGGCTGAGTAATATTCCATGGTGTATATGTACCACAGCTTCCTCATCCATTCATCTGCTGATGGGCATCTAGGTTGCTTCCATGTCCTGGCTATTATAAACAGTGCTGCGATGAACATTGGGGTGCACGTGTCTCTTTCAGATCTGGTTTCCTCGGTGTGTATGCCCAGAAGTGGGATTGCTGGGTCACATGGCAGTTCTATTTCCAGCTTTTTAAGAAATCTCCACACTGTTTTCCATAGTGGCTGTACTAGTTTGCATTCCCACCAACAGTGTAAGAGGGTTCCCTTTTCTCCACACCCTCTCCAGCATTTATTGCTTGTAGACTTTTGGATAGCAGCCATCCTGA